CCTTACAGCTTTTTGGATACAAGGTTCGTAAGCTTCTAGATTCATTGCCCACCATGATCACTCCCAAACACATGTTGGTCGTATTTTGAATAAATATAGTTGATCAGGCTCTATTTATCCCCAATACAACCACATAATTGTCCGGGTTTAACCACGGTGTTCAATTTCCTCCAGAGACTTTTAGTGTTATTATATTAATGCACACATAGGTATGTATTTTAAATTATTTTGTTCAGAGTAGTTTAGTCCCATTGTATTTATAGTTGCATATCTTGTATGATTAGATATGTCAGTTCACTATACACAATGCTTTGATACCAATCTGTCACACCCCCGAACCAGACGGCGGAAACGTCCGGGGGCGTGGGTGACTTCATTTTTGTAGTATCATCACAGTGTATATAATTGAAACAAAACATCATCATCATCACACATGTAATATTACAATTGTCATTGTTTACATCAGGTATTGTATTTCAGTATTAAATGCCATAATATCCAAAATATGGTGATAACAAAACACAACAAAATATCCAGGTATTCTTGCTAACCAACCTGCTCAACGATTTCCTGAGAATACAAGTTAATTTAAAAAAAAAACGGTTTGAAATGTTTGTGTCAGGTCCTGTGTTAATGCATGTGTGTTAATGTTTGTGAGTGTATGAAGTGAATGATTCCAGACAACCCGATGTTGTCTTTTTAAATAAAAAAGAGACGTTGTGATTTCAACACCCTAAAACTGAGTACTAATGCGTGTATATTCCCGTGTTATCAACAGATGTTGTATTCCGTAAATTTTATAATGATGTTAATTCCTCTAAGTGAGTCGTTATAACCATACTTGATAATGAAAATTCCACTTGTCATGACGTTTTCGGACGCCGACGTGTTTATGGTAAGGTTTGTCACCCTAGACTGGCCTAGTCTAACTATAGCGAACAGCTCAGGTGTGGGGTGTCACCCCCGTATAGATCTATACACAAACTCTCGCTCTCCCTCGAGGAGACTCTGGTTATAACTACAGGCTACGGTTGTACACTCGATAGGTGTCAAACGAAGTGTCTCACAAGATCCTTAACTAAATTTACGTGAATATGAAATTGCACAGTTTATATTGTTTACGTGTAAGTATTTAGTTTTCAAAGCCCAACGAGTGCGTATGTGAATGTGTGAAGTCAACAAGCATGTCGATGGACTACGAAGGCCCAATAAACATGTAAGGTATATTTCAGGCCCAATAAACATGTAAAATGACAACTAAGGCCCATTAAACATGTTAATTATATTTCAGGCCTAATAAACATGTAAAAGGACAACTAAGGCCCACTAAACATGTAAATTATATTTCAAGCCCAATAAACATGTAAAAGGGCAACTAAGGCCCACTAAACATGTAAATTATATTTCAGGCCCAATAAGCATGTAAATAACGTAATTGATCTGTTTGTTGTTATGTTGGTTGTTAAGTTTAGTTGTTTACCAAAACGACATAACAGGCCCACTTTTTGTAAAAAAAACATTTTTGGTCCTTCAAATCGAAAATTTACAATTTAGGCACATTTGTGGTAAAAATGACACTTTAGGTCCTTTAAAACCAGAAGTTTACATTTACGGCTAGTTTTAAGTAAAAATAACATTTTTAAACCACTTTTGTCAAAAATATCATTTTTGGCCTCAATTTTATGTAAAATTCACATTCTCGGCCCAATTATGAACAAATTTATCTTTTTGGCCCAAGATTTAATAAATTTACATTTTCAGCCCTTTTTATCGAAAATTTACATTTTTGGCCCAAAAGCCGTGAAAGCCCAGAATGAGGCCCATTTGTGATAATTTACACTTTTAGCCCTTTTAAACTCACAAATACCATAAAGATTCATATTTATCAAAAATAAATCCTTTTTGGTCCCTTGAAACCGTGAGTTATATATAATAACCTCACTTTTGATTATTTTGTCATTTTTGGCCCTCTCATGCAACTTTCTTAGTTTTAAACAACTTTGAAATGTTTTAAACCTTTTCTTTGCATAATAAATTGTAATAAGTGTTATGTTCTACAATTATCATCATATTTTAGCATATTTTCAAGTTTATGAAGTTTATAACACATAATCACACTTATATCATGAAAATCACACAAAATCATGCATATACACATAGATCTACACAAAACAACTTGTATTCTCCCCCAAAACATAGTAAAAAACCGAAAGTAGGGGGTATGAACTCACATTGGTTTGATGATTTCGGTTGTGGTGAAGAAAATGGAGAGATCTTGGCCCTAGTAAGCTTTCTTGAGTAGATCTCGAACCTAAGATGGATCTAAGAGCATGGATCACGAAATGATGTGTTAAGGAGTGAAGATTATCATAAAATGAAGTTAATCATCAAACTTAGAGAGTAGCTTACCAAATGAGTAGATTTTTGGTGGAGTATTCTTGTATTTACACTCTAGCACACACGAATTTTGGGTGATGAAGATGAGAGAATTTTAGATGGCTTTGAGAGGAGTTTTGTAATATTGGAAGTTTGAATGGAGAGTGGTGAGTGAAGAGAGGCTTGGCCGAGAATAAGAAGGGGAAGGAGAGTGATTTGAAATGAGGTTATTACATGAAGGTTTAGAGTCCTAGAAACATGAGATTTGTTGCTTGGTTAACCTCTAAACAATAGTGAGGTGGCAACACCCTAATTATCCTATTGTTTTTCTTTTTTTTGTTATATATCCGAGAATGAGGGGGAAAGAAAAGAGAAAGAAGAGTTTGGGCCATGTTTGATTAGATTTGAAATTATGTGGCCCAAATTAAAAGTTTTCAGCCCATTGGGCCCATATGAGGGTTTACGGCCCAATAACGATAAAGAAAGGGAGTTTACGGCCCAATAATGTTCAAGAGAGTTGTCCACGACCCGTAAAGGCCCATGAGAATGAAATGGGTCATTAGAGGTCCAATAAGGCCCATAAAAGTGAAATGAGATATTTTAGGCCCATCATGACCCAAAAGGTTATAGTTTCATGAAAGTGGGTCCAATTAGAGCCCAAATAACCAAGTTGTGAGTTTATTGGCCCATTAGGCCCAATAAATGATTTCTAGTTCAGTAAGGTTTGAACTGGGAAATTAGGGTTTCAAACCCACAGTTGAGTATATGAGATATATTGAATGAGGATTTTGAACTTCATGAGTGAGTTTTGGTTCAAACAGTTGTTTTTGGAATGAGCATTAATACATAACATCAACTTAGATTACAAGTTACATAAAAGTTGAGTACATGAGGACATAATTTCCTAGCCAAAAATGCTAGTTGTGACAAATAACATTTGCGAACGAAACAGCTAGCACAAACCACCTAACACTAATTTGAGACCAATCCTCGGTCAAATACTCAAATCCACCAGAGTTTGACCAAAAGTCAAACTTGTCAAAAAGTTAACATTCAAAGTCAAAGTCAACGGTTAACACACGCCGCGTCCACAAGGAAACAAAATAGTCGAGGACACCAAACTTGTCCCGCTACATCCACGGTCCGACGCGCCACGCTTTCTGGGCAGATGCACTTCTTCCATTAAGTGTCAAATCCTTTAAGACATAACCTCTAACTTTCTAGAAATCAATAAATGATGTTTTAATGGATAAAGCTTCCAACTTTATCCAGATCCATGACTCTAGCAGGCCAAACTCTAAACCTAGATCCGAAATGAGTCCAAATTGCTCGAAACCTTGCATGGTCCAAAATGAAAGACGAAACTCACTCCTTTTTCACCATAATGGGTCTAGAAGACAACACAAAACAACCTTTTCACCTGGAGTTGTCCAAACTCCATCGAAATCATGACAAAAGGGACCAACTATGCTCAAAATCTTAGATCTAGCAATAAACAACCATAAAGTTCAGAACTTGAATACTTACAAAGCACAAGGATTGGGTCAATAAGCTTGTATTCTTTGGATCTAGCCTTTGGTGTACCAAAACTTCCTTGCTTCTTCTTCAAGCTTCACCAAAATGCACTAAGAACACCAAATAGGATGAGAGAGGCTAAGGTTTCGAGGTTTAGGGTTTCTGGGGATGAAGGTTGAGCAAATGAGGATAGCCTAGAAGTTAGAGCTCTTAAATATGGCTCAAAGGCCAAAATTTAGGGTTTTGGGCCGCTAACTAAGATGTGATGTGCGTGACACGCGTCCTTCGCGTCGCGACCACCATGAAACACGTCACGTTCATGCTTCAATTTCCCAATCCTTAAACCTTTAAGTAATTAACTTGGCAATAAGACTTACTCGGAAAAATGGGAGTTACAAAACAAGAAGCATTGACATGATGTTGTATTTCTTGGCTTCTTAAAGGGATTTTGATTTTGTAATTCTTAGCATCTTGAAAGGGCTTCTCCAACATGTAATTCATCTTTAGCGGCCCTGGAATAACATGTGCCTACAACACATTGGGAGATCAAACCACTCAATAAAACCACATGTTGCTATGACCTAAGAACAACATCAAAATTTGCGAGTTGGGTTGAGATTGGTCCACAAAATGAATATTACAACTTGTGAACCGCACTCGCAAGTCAACATTTTCTTGAGCTTTGTTTCGGTGTAATTGAATTTTCGGAAGAACATAATAGAAGAAACAATGGAGGAAGTGGTGTGTGGAAGGAGATTGTTATTTTATTTTAAAAAAAAAACAAACATTTTGAAAGAAAACCAAAGTGAAATGACAAATTTATTTTTGCGTGAAGGGAACATAAGGGTGTTTAACGGTGAATCTCAATTGAAGTTTAAACCTCAAAGACCATCATTGCAATTTTTTAAAACCACACACACCGGACGTGTTAAAAAATCAAAAATTAGACTAAAAATACAGATCGGGAACAAAGCTAGTAGTATAATTTACTCAATTATTTTTGCAAAATAATTTTTCTCAGATTTCCATTAAAAAAAAAAAAAAAAAAAAAAAAAAAAAACTGTTTTTACAGTTTTCTCAAAATTGTATGCGGGTTCACACTACAATACCCTTTTTCGGCTGCTATACTGAAGGATGCAGAAACCTCCAGAAATTCATGACGGTGGCCATCACCAATCACAGCAAAACTTATGGCCCGTTATTCAATAAAGCTCCCAGATCTCTCCCATTCGATAAGCTCACAGGTGTGTATTTGTTTGTGTCTTAGAGAGAAAAGATAAAGTCCTTCAGTATGAAGAATGAAGGAGGAGGCGGTTCAGGGGTATCAACTGCCTTGAAACCCACAAATTTTGCGCTTCTTTCAGAAGGTTGTGTGGCGTATATTTTATCACAAACCTCACCTCGCGATGCGGGTAGAGCGTCTTCGATTTCTAGGGGTTTCAAGTGCTTCGCTAATTCTGACGCCGTTTGGGAGCAATTTTTGCCGTCGGATTACCTGGACATCATTGCTCGATCGGTTTCTCCGGTGGTTTACTCATCCAAGAAAGAGTTATACTTCCGTCTTTGTGATTCTCCCATCCTTCTGGATGATGGCAACTTGGTAAGTTCCTCCTTCATGTTTTTAAATCTATCTTGCCCACCAACTTTTCTACTATTTTACTTTTTTAGTAGTCCTTTCCATTGTGTGACTGATAAGAATCAATACATATAGTATCAATTCTTACAGATGCACGGGATTGTATCATTAATAAAGTTAAGAAAAAGAATAACCTTCAAGAAATTGATTTAGAGGCACAAAAAGATAGAGATAGGAGACTGGAGAGCATAATCATTCTGATTCATGATATCTGGGCTCTCCAGTCATTATGTTCCGTATAGAATTTCCCCTAAAGACAGCCACTTGACCCATTTTTTTTGGTTTCTGAGAACACATGCAATGCAAATACCTGTCTGGATGAAAGTAGGTCCAAACCCGACCCGGATGGACCCGGAACCGAAAACCGGACCAGTATATAGGAATAAGGAACCGGTTCCGGTTTCGTTTCAGGTACAAGGCCGGTCGGGTGTGGGTAAATGGGTCTAGAACTGAAAACCGGGAAAAGTGAAAGTGGATAGGGTGGAACCGGGTAAAATGGGAAAACCCAAAAACCCAGAAAAAATGGAATTTTTTGGTACTTACTTTGTGGGTTGATATCCTTATTTTATAGCAAGTCAAAATACATCTCATTTGTGGAATGGAGTAATAATAGACTATCAAATTCAACATTTTTTTATTAGTTTCAAGTTTGAACTTTGAAAATTTTCCAAATTTGATATCCGACTTCGGATGACCGTAAGTCGTTTAATATGAAACCAAAAATGACAACATTATAGTCTAAAATCATATACAAATTCTAAAGTATATTCTGGAAAAAAACGCATGCCAATCCGACTTTAAAGGAATTAGATATACATGTTTTAAATTTTTCACTGAATACAAAATAGAAAAATAAATAGCTGAAGAGCTGAAAATTTCTAGCTTTGCTATCCCGACTTTGGGAAACTGTAAGTCGTTGAATATGTAACCAAAAATTACAAAATTATAGTCTAAAATCATGTAAAAACTTTAAACTAAATGCTGGAAAAAACCTCATGTCAATCTGATTTTAAACAAATGAGATATGCATGTTTTAATTTTTTCACAGAAACCGGTTCTGGCCTCTAAAGCCGGTTCTGGTTCTTAAACCCGGTTTACCCAGACCCGACGACACCATGTATCACCATTCATTCTCACCAAATTTTTTTGACAAATAGTTTTTGTGTCTAAAGTTGATGATTTTGGGAAACCATGTAGTTTGTTTACATTACCCAATCCATAAGTTGAATGAAGGTTAGACATGACCATTTGTAGAAGTTTGCCATGATTAGGCCTTGACAAAGCATCTGTCACATTGTTTTCAATCCCTTTCTTGCATACTGTTGTCCTGAAGGTGCTTCAAACTCTGTTGGGCGGTCTTAATCACAAAGTGCTATCAAATGATGCCACTTTCTCAATGCCTTGTTGATTGCTAAGAGCTCCTTTTCATAAGTAGACATGGGCACATGGCCATGTGTTTCGGAGGTAGGGCATAAGGCTTTGTTGGAAAAAAGTCAATAGGGTGGTGTTTTTTGCATCAATAGGGCCCCTATTTCATTCCATGATGCAATTATTTCGACTACAAATGTCACATGAAAATCAAGCAATGTGAGTACAATAGATTGTATTATTGTTTGCTGCTTCAACTTGGTGAATGCTAAAGGTAGTTGCCTCATGCCAATGAAAAGTGCCTTTTTTGAGGAGTCGATTCAATGGTTTGGCTATTTTGTCATAGTCCTTGATGAATCTTCTGTAATAACCGGTTAAACCTAAGAACCCCTTTAACCACTTCAAGTTTTTAGGTAACGGTAATTGTTAAGCAATGTTGTAAAACTAGGGTCTAGGGAGTACCTGGGTAGTGTTAATTGTAAAACAACTAATTTTGGTGAAATTATACGTGTGACAAATATCATAAGTTCATTACACAATACACAAATATCTATAAAAAATATACATGTCCAAAATGTAAACTACTTCAATACACTATTATATATTTATATACATATGACAAATATCATAAGTTCATAACAAAATAGGTAAATATCACGTCGTGAGACTAAGGTGAAAGTGAGATAGACGAGAGTTTATAACATAAGCTTTTCTTTCTAAATGACATGTAGTTTAGAGTTTGTACATGATTTTAGACAATAATTGTCATTTTTGGTTTAATATTTAATGACTTACAGTCCAGTCCCCTCGAAGTCAGGATATCAAAGCTAAAAAATTTCAAAGTTCAACTGACTAAGTAATTACCAAAAAAATCCGGTTTTCCCGGTTCCACCGACCCATTTTGATGTTTCTGGGGTTTTCCGGTTCTAGACCCACTTTACCCGGAACCGAACCGGAACTGGAACGGTTCCTATATACCGGTCCTACAAAATCCTGTTAACCGGTTCCCTGGTTTTCCAGGTCCTGGTCTATCTGGGTCGGATTTGGACCCACTTTCATCCCTAGTATCGGATATAGTAGATTAGTAGCCTCTTTAGGACTTATATAAGCAAAAATGCATAACATGCAAGGCAAAAGAGCTATTACTATGTCTTATCATCCCTTGTTTCAACAATTCAATGGTCATTTGCTCATTTGCATCCTTTTGTATTGTTTGATACTTTTAAAGGAATTTTATGGTCAAATCCTTCTCTGAATGGGGATGTTCAGCAGGAAAATTGATTGAGAGACAAAAAAGAAGAAAATGGAATTAAAGAGAGCATAAGGAGGAAAATTGGTAATATCATTCATAATACCTCAGGCTCTCCTATCATTCTTTTACATATAGAATTCCCCAAGATTCCATGAGATACGTGGGTGATGTCATAAAATAAAAAATATAAATATAACAAGAAAATTCACATTCTAACACCCCTATGAGGGTTTTTATAATCTGCTAATAGGAACATGTGGGCATAACTATCCAATAGTCTAGAAAGTAAAGCTACACAAGAAAATACAACATAATAGTTAAGCATTTCGTCCTTCATTGCTAATAAGCAGTTTGTTTCTGAGCAGATAGGCAAAACAAGAACACAACTAAAACTTTGTCATGAATCATAGACTTAGAATCAAGTTAATTGTTTTAGATTTTTTGTTTTTTGTCATGATAGGTATAGCATGTAGATAGATAATGAATGTGCAAGTAAAAGAGTCGTCTATAATTCCTACAAGAAGCAGAAGGTGAAGAAGACCCTATTCTGAGCTTCAATAATTTCATTGTGCAAAGAGATGTGGAAGGAATGAAGACGCCTTAGTATTATAGCCTATTTTTCTTACATCTAACAAGGGAGAAAGACACCTTCTTTTTAAATTTGTATTATGATGAATATTGTGGCTCTTGTGTGATATCTACATAACGTAATGTTTCTATTTCTAATCCGGATTTTATAATATGATTGGATACAGAGCTTCTACCTTAATAAAAAGAATGGAAAAAAATGTTTTATGCTAGGAGCACAGGCACTTTCAATTGCATGGCAAGAAACTTTAGTTTTCTGGAGATGGAGATCTTTACCTGAATCAAGGTCCCTCCTTTCTCTCTCCATTGACTTTGACTTTGACTTTTCTTTCTTTCATCAAGGTTATTACCAATTTATAACATTAACCCAAAAAAAAAAACAATACAACAGAAATCTTTACTGATTTTTGTAAGGAATTTGCAGGTTTTCAAAGGTAGCGGAGCTTTTAGCTGTGTGTTGGCTTGAAATAAAGGGAAAGTTTAGAACAAAAATGCTGACATCAGCGACTAGTTATGCAGCATACCTTGTGTATAAAATTGGACAGGTGTCACATGGGCTTGACTTCACGGGGAAGACATTTGTGAGACATGTTGGTGGAATTGGAAGAGATGATGACGTGGCAACCACTGTTTACTTGAAACCACCAAGGACAGGTGGTGGTTTGCAGGATGGGTCTAGAGATGGGGAGGTGATGGGTGGGGGCCCACAAAGGCGGGTGGATGGGTGGATGGAGATTGAATTGGGGAGATTTTATAATGGTGAGAATGAGATTGATGATGAAGTGGAATTTTGTTTTATGGAGACACGTGAGCTTCATTGGAAAGCTGGGCTCATTGTTGAAGGTATTGATATTCGTCATTTGGATTAAAGAAAATTATGTGATTCATTGAGGGTATTTTGGTCATTTGAAATGGCTGCAAAAAGGAAATCCCAGATTGGGTTGAGGTTAGAAAGAGTTGGATGAAAAAAAGGAGCAAGCTATCTATATCTAATGACTCATACCTGTAGATGCAATCCAGCTTTTAAAATTCTTAATGGGGTTTTGAAGGAAATGAATTGCACTAAAGGAAAATCCCTCTTGTAATACTTACTAATGGCAGAAAAGACATGTCTATGTTTGGTTTTCCATCAAAATGTATTTTTCTTTAGAACATAAAAAGACGTATGTCTGTGTTTGTTTTTCCCTCTTTTTTCAAACACAGAGAGATACATAATGATGATTTTTGTGTTTTCATTCTAGATTGAGATTTTTTAAGGGTTATACATTTAGTTTGAAAATCCATATAGAAATCATAATGGGTGCGATTGATGGTATTCTAATATGCCTATATCCTTGTTTTCTGAAAGCATCGAGAACAAACAGAATCCACGGATATTATCTTAGAATATTATTATGGAAACATTAAGAACACTACGAAGTAGTTTGGCTATATAAGTTCTTAGAAATCCCAAGAACAAACAGAATCAATAGATAAAAGTGGATTTGTGTATGCATCAACATAAAGATCATATCATCAAAGCATGTCTACTATGCCAGAGAGACTGAAAGATAATACAAAAACGAGTCACTTTGAATAATGTCACAAAAAAACTATGTAGTTTAATTGGCAGCTAAGTCGAAAAACTTTTGACTTATTGAAGCACCTAAAAAATTAGTATTTTTTCAAGATTTTAATCAGTAACGAATTGTTGAGGCCATTTTACATGGACTTATCTACTAAAAGTGAGAACGAAGTGGAGATATGTTTCATGGAGACAAATCTGGTCTCATTGTTGAAGGTATTGATATTCGTCCTGTAGATGCATGATCATGACATAAATTGGTGAAAAACCTTCCAAGTTATATGTGAAAATAACAGTTAATGTTAATTTATTTTGGAAGAAACTATGTTTAGTGGACTGGGTACTTTTTTGTAGTTATGTTTTTATGAACACCAAAATATTTCAGATGGAATTACATACGTTAAGTCTACATTGATTGTGTAGCTATATGTGAGGGAGTTGTATGTTTTAAATAATGTAGGTTTAATGTTGAGGGAGTTATGTTATAATGACCATAATATTTAAGTAATTCATGTATAATTTAATGACCATAATATTTAAGTAATTCATGTATAATTTAATGTTGTGAAAGGCGCATCAAGAATAATATTTCACTAAAAAGCTTAAATACAAACAAAAAACTACATGACAAGTCATAAAATAAATTCATGCATGCGGACTGGCCTTTTAACTGCATTTGTGAATCCCTGCATGCATGCATCAACAAATATAAGTATGAAATTAGTGTTACACATTTAATACATAAATTATTTTATAAATTTTGAATTTTTCATAATAGTTAAGTTACCTACCTCATTAAACTTGAATAACACCGGACGTGAATCCCTCTCAGAAGTTGCCGAAACTTTTTTCACAGTTTCAGTCATCTGAGAACCATTCGCACTCACTTTTTTAAACCTGGTTTACAAATTAATAATTAATAATTTTATTATAAGCCACAAAAAAAAAACAAAAATATAAAATCATATTTGGATTAGGATTACCTTTCAAAGAAATTGAAAGAGCTTGATTTCTTCTTTGTAGTAGTAGTAGAAGTCTCGGATGATTTTGGTACCATAGTGATAATAGGAGTATGTTTTTCTTGTTGTGTGGGAGTGGGACCCAATGGATTCTTTACTTTGGTGGCATTTTTGTCATTTTCCACAACACCATTAGGTTTACTAAATTTCTCTTTCACAATTTCTTTCACATCATCTCCATGCATTGATTTGTTGATGCTACTTTGTAGTATCTTCTGGTTTTCAATCTATAATAGCAACATAGATTAAGCATGATGTTAGGGGCAATTTAGTCTTTTTCACATGCAAGTCAAGTGGGTTGTGTTGTAACTTGTGTTGCTTACCTCATGGCATAGAAGCTGCTTAACAGCTAAGCCAAGAATGAAGTAATTACTACTGCACCCCTGCAAGCAAATTAGAAATTATATATAATTATAATTTAGATTTTATTATGAAAAAAATCAAAAGTCAAAACCCTAACCTCAAAGTTTACAAAGTCAGCGATTGGGGGATCAAAAGAGAGAACTGGGGTGTCCTTGTCTGTAGCAACTTCAAATTTGAGTTTATTAGGTAAAGGATCAATTTTTTTGTTCCTGTATGTTATGGCATATGACACCATGGTATTAACCAGATGAGCCATTTCTTTTTTTTCTTTTTCTGATAATAAATGCAAAGCCACCTGATTAAAAAAAAAAACAATAACTTCAATACAAAGAAAGTGATAAAAGGAAGAATTGAGTAGAAATAAATTACCGGCTTTAAAGTTGGAGGTGATAAAATATGCAATAATGGAGAAACCAAATCTTCAACAAAAGATTTAGTGGAAATGTGTCTTGAGATTGATGGAGATATTTTGTTGTGCCACATGTGCAATGACTCCACTTTTTCAATGAGTGTCGTTCGATATCTGTAGTTTTAAAGAAAATAAAAACAAGGGATAAATATTAAATACAATAAATCTTCCACAAAAATCTCTAGTTTTATTGACATACCGATGAAAAGATTTTGGCCATTGAATATTAGGTTTTTCAACTTGAGATACCACACCATGTATAGAAATTGCAATAGCAGGTTGATAAGCTGCAAAAAGATAATATATTTTGTTAGCTTCTTATATAAAATCCATAATTTTATAAATGTTTGTACACAGAAAAAGGTTATATACCCATAAGAGACATTTTCTGTGTACGCATAATATATTGATGAAAGATATCAGAAACCTCAAGACTGTGTAAACACTTGACCTACATAATGGAAATTTGTTAAATTAATATGTCGAGTTACTTAATAAATATTTATCTCCTTGGAATAAAAGTATAAAACTCACTGTTTTTTTCATCACTGGATCATGATAATTTAAATGGAGAATGTTCTCATGGATTCCATCTAATATTAAATCATAGTTGCCACTGAAAAGTCATCAGTTAAAGAAAATGATGTGGCAATTCTGGAAAAAAAGATTGTAATATTTTGAAATATTTTAATATACCAGTTAGAGATCAAGGAGTGAAGAGAATCAAACTCGTTAAACATGCTTCTGGAACTTTCAATGGACTTTCTTGCCCCCTTCAATCTTCTCTTTTGGAAAACCTTTTAAATAAAAAAGGGTTAGATTCAAAAAAATAGCAATGTACTTTTGTTTCTTCCTATTAAAATAATGTATAATACACAAATAAATGAAAGTAAGTTGTTATTTCTTGCATTCATACCTCCTTCCATACATCAAAAACACTTCTTGATGCATCCTTCCTACCAACCACTTGAGAACTGATATCCAACTACAAGTAAAGAAAAACAGTTCTTGTTTGTCAATTCATAATAATTTCCATAATTTTATGCACAGAAATACACATAAACAAGCTGAAGTCCACATACCACATTGAGCATTTCTTTCTTTTTGTTGAGGAACTGTAGAGTATTCAAGCATGATCGTATGTCACATTCTAAAAAAAAAGAAGAAAAAAAATTAGATATACAAATATAGATGAAGTGATAAGTGATAACCACTTTTTTATATTTTCATATTACTACAATATCAAAGTTTTATCAACATAAGCAATATGTTGAGAGCTACAATTTAGCAAATCACTTACCAGTATATTCAGCCAATGCAGAAAGTGCAACAGAACTTGTCCTCATAGCTTCTTTGTTGCATATATACTTAAGCCTAAATATTCAGTAATAAATCTGAGATTAGATGCATTTTATATTTTTATTACCATTTAATTACTGTGTCTATGTAAATAATCACCTGCTGACAATACGATTTACTGTTGGCTGAACAAATACAAGAACCCTACAATTTTTCAAAATATGTTGTCAATAATTTAGCCTGAATTATACATGAAAATTAACAAAGTGACATAAAACTTACTTTGCTACTTGACGCAATGGTCTCAAAGCAGGGGCATATAGGTCATTGCAAATGCAAATTATCTACATATGAAGACAACCCATGAGTATCAAATAAACGAGAAAGACTAAATCATGGAATAAACACATAACTACATAAGTAAATTGATCCTACAGGTCTTAAAAGTGGAGTGTCCTTTTTTTTCTTTTTTGAAGATGTTTTTCCTGATTGTTCTGTTTGAACAATATTTTCTGCTCCACTATCAGATCTCTTATCACCAGCAACCTGCATTGATAATTGTAACTTGTGTGAAAAAATGAACAAATAAAGAGAAGGTTAAAATATGTATATTAGGTTAATAAAGAAAAGCATGATTTACCATCTTTAAAATTACATCTACTGCCCCTTTACCATCACCAAGAGCTCCATCAATTTCATCAATTATCTACAACAAGAAAGTTAATTTCAATAAATTACATTCTTACCCAAAATAGAAAGTCATAATAGTATTGTGTGATGTAACCTACCAAACACTTTGGCCTAGAATCAGCCATGACAGAGTTCATCTGAACCACATCAAGAATTTTGGTTTCAATTGTTGATGATGACCTGTCATCACTAGCATTAATCTCCACCACACGATATCCACAGTGTTGAGCTGCCACATGTGCAAGTGTTGTTTTCCCAAGCCCTGGTGCACCACATAGTAGAAGGATCTGCAATAATTGTTGTATGAATATATGATATTGATAAGCTCTAGCAACAGTGTATGAATTATGAAATGAGTTATAAAGTTTACTTTACCTTCTGTTCTGGTGGGCCAGAGTCCTTGATTTTCTTGTTATGAAGTTCTTGCATACCATGATGATCGTATTTGTCTTCTTTGAATGTTTCACTGTTAGATGTAGAATCTTTGTTCCACCCAAAAGAATTCTTGCTGGAAACTTTCTTATGTTGAGAAACAGTGGAATGCCTTTTTAAAGCAGATAAAACATCATCTGTTGTACTCTTGAGTTCAGATCCAAAAACAGAAGTGTCCCATTGTTTCAACCATAAAAGGACCTGAAATTTGGAAACTCGATAAGATTCAATAGTTTAAGATAATAATAAGGTTATAGCACAGTTTGGAAGGCATATATATGCACCTCTCTGTTGGTATGTTCATCACTGAGAAGCTCCATGAATGAATTAGGAGAATATTTATCCACCCAGAGTCGTTCATTTACCACAGGTGTTCCCACAAGATTTGCATCAACCTGACTAGACACACTGGCTTGCAAAGCCTGAACACCACAGTAATAATGGTCAGTGTGTTATAACAACTGGAAAGGATTGAAAATTTTAGCCTAGGTAGTAACATTCTGATTCCATACATAACATGCTATTGTCTCTCTATCATCACAGAGATTGAAGATGAAGGTCCTAAAGGAGGCAAATCAAGATAAAACTCATTGTGTTCCACTATGTAAGAAGTAGAGGGTGACTATGGTAAGAGATTATGGTGACCAGGTGATCATGACAACAGAGTACGCGTACCTTTTGCATAGCATCTTCTTCCGCCCTCTGCATTAGAACGCTTATAGGTTCCAGCATAAGGCCTGCGCAATTAATCCATCATGATTAAATGCACAATACCGCATACTTATACTACAATTACAAATAAGCATCCAAATTTAACAGTAGAAATTAGCCAAGTCAACAGTACTCTACCTTTGGATGGAGCTTTCACGTCCAACTTCTTGAGCTTGTCGTCCTTCTCCTCCTTAACCAGCTTAGCATAAACCCTATCGCCATCAGGCGCCGTCACAGGCATAAAATCTCCTTCAATATCAGTTACATATCGCGAGATAAACGTTTCCTTCTCCTTCTCAACAATAATCACTGATTCTTCCTGAGGCGGCGGGGAGTACCGAAGCCAGTCATCATCAGCTTCAATTGCACTCGAATCATTAACTTTGCATCGCTTATCTTCCACCGAATCGTCAACATTGCTAGGGTCGAGTAAATTAGGGCTTAATGGGCGGAATCGCTTCTTCGGTTGTACTTTCTCCGGGATCGGTAAAGCAGGTTTAACGATGGGTTCCGGGTTGTAGAGCTTCATACACTTCTTCAATGTATGATGCTTCTTCTTCGGGTAGTGGTGGTGGTTCGGGATCTTCGTCGAGATACTCTTCGTGGAGTTGCAAGTCGGCTTCGAGCCATTCGAGTTCATCCGGCATCGGAATGTCCATTTCCATCTCCGATCTGAGCTCGGCTTGGATGAATCTGCGTTTGTGTGTCAAAGAGAGGGCGATGAGTGTCGAGTGAAAATGTATTGGCGGGAAAAGTAGAAAGACGCGGGGAAGGTATACAGTGAAACTCTTAAAATTACGCAACAGCCCCCAAAGAATAAAGAGATTACATTTAGCCAATTTGTCTTGTATTTTGTCCACTTTAGCCCGCAATCAATTAGTTTGTTTATTTTATAAGATTTAGAAATATTCAATAAAATATCATTATATATATATATATATATATATATATATATATATAT